ATAGAAAAAATTTGATTTGGAAAGTGCCTCCACTACATCAAGCTTTTCTCCCCAATGCCTCGACTTTCTTTGCCTCTAGAGCATGTACAATGGCATTTCTCTCCGAGCTTTTATTCATAAATTCAAGCTTTAGAAAAAAATAAAAAAATAAAAAATGCTACAATGGTATGCTTTGAGAGGTCAAAAAAATGAGAAGCCTGATTATGGCTGGTGCAGGCGAAGGGGAGAAGAAGTTGTGAGAGAAGAAATAAGTTATTTTGTATATGTCCATTGCATATGCTCTAAATATAGATCATTGGGTGTTTATTTTTTGAAACTTTAATTTAGGGGTGTAAAAAGGAAACTCACTTCGAAAAACCGAACTAGTTCGACCTGAAATTTTTCAGGTTCGGATTTGGGTATTTCGGGTTTGAAAAAAATCAAGTCGATCCGAACCTGAAACGAAAAAAATTCTTGTCGTGTTCGGATTGTGTTTCGGGTTGACCTGATAACCTGAAATATCAAAATCGGGTTAGGTTTTGGATTTCGTGTTTCGGGTTGACCTGAAATTTTTATTTTATAAAAATTAAAATAAAAATGATATTTTTTAGGTCAATTTAATTTTTTTTAAATTTTCGGGTCTGTTTCGTGTCGGGTTTATATCGGGTTTGTTCGGGTTTCGGGTGACCTGAAACTAATTCAGGTTAACTTGAACCCAACCTGAAAGAATTCATGTCGTGTTCGGATCTAGGGTTTCAAGTCAAATTTCAGGTTCGAGTTGACAGTTTTTTTATTGTCCTCATAGCTCAACCCTACACGAACACGACCCAAAAATACGAATTGACACCCCTACTTTAATTAACAAGAATAAAAAATAAAAGGACACCCTCTATTTGTACCATGAAGTCCTCTGTAGTGTTACTATTACACTTGTCATACATATATGTGATGTGTGCTTCTTTTTTTACAATTTTTTTTTTTTCGTGCGTAGGATAATTAGATTTTTCTAAGTACGGGATTCTCAGCCCCGTTCCTCTTTGTTCCTCACATAAAATGATATATATTATATATGTACATATGATATATAAATATGTATAATATATGTATTTATATATAGATGAAGAATATAGAGAAATAAGTATTATCAAATAAAGAAACATTATATATTATATATTATTTAAGAAACTTGTTTTATAGACGAAGAAACCATTTTGCAAGTAGGGGTTGGTTGCAGATCACTTATTGTGATTTTTCCTATTATCTTGTGAATAAATCAAAAGTTCAATTTATTTAGGTAAGAGATCGTTGGTCATATTTTTGTTAGCGTTTTTTGCCGTGTTTCTTTGGCAATTATTTGATCGTGCCCCCATCCTTTGTGATTTCGAGAGTTGGTGAGTTTTTAATAGGTAAGTTGGTGTGTTTGCCAAACTTAAGTTTCGATCAAGCGTTTAAGGTTGTGGTTCTCATTTATTTGGATATTGTTCAAAGGCGATCGGATTAGAACAACCTTTTCTAGGGCTACGTTGCTCATATACAAGGAGTTAAACTCTAAACCTAAAGAAGAATTCATTCATTATGTTGTTCAACTTTTTATGGTTCTTCGATCGTGATTTTATTTGTTTTTTTGTTGTTTATCTATTTATTTATTTCTTTATCTTCCTTAAGGTGCTTTGATATGTTTGTGAGTTTTGAATGTTTAATCAATTTTTTGGATAGTGATTCTTCAACAAACAATTGAAACTAGAAATCGAAATAAATAAGTGAGAAAAGAGTTGGAAAAATAATTAGTTAGTTAAATGTAAGTTAGCTAACAGTGAGTTAAAGTTGTGTTTGAACTTATCAGGAATTTAACTCTAAACCTAGGATCTATCGCGTTAAAATAATTGAGATAAAAAATAAAGTAAATTAGATCTAACCTTATTCCATGTGCGTTGTCGGAATCAGATATGGGTTTTGTGTTCTTCAAACCTATGGCGCAACCCCTCTTGAGAAAACCGCTAGGTTTTCTGCCGTTACTCTCACGATGAGATATGAAAAGTAATGGATGTTGCGTCTAGACCTAGGATTACAGCCCTATTTACATCCCTTATTATTAATTGGCCTCATCACACAATTAATAAGTTACCGGGTTTATGTACATTTAAGGTATGCACTTACTAAACACATTTAAGCCCAATAAATTTATAGATCACTTAATATAAGTTTAATCTGACTGATAACCCAAATAGTTACATTTTACCCACATTAGGATTTTTAATCCAACAAGTTGTGATTGGAAGTTGCGTTTTACTTAAGGAGGTGGCAATTCGAGTTGGGATCGTTTTTTTTGTGCCGAATTGGCCCGACCTGATTCTGAAGTGGGCTTACAGACACGGTCCGATTTCGAGCTTGGCCTAAATAGGTAGGCCCAAGCACGACCAAATTTGAAATTGAGCTAACCCGTTTTATTTATTTTTTTATTTGAATTATTTTTCTATTTTTTTAATTTAAAATTAATTTAATAAAAAATTTATTTAAATGATTTAAGTAGAAATTGAATTCACAACCAATTATAAACAATTTAAAAATTTTACCATTGAATTATATGTAAATTTTGGTTACTATTTCATCAGTTAATATTACTATATAAATATATTAAATATTAATTTTTAAGGCCGGGGCACAGCTCGGTTTATTGGCGTGCCGGGCTAGTCACAGTCCGACAAAAAAAAAAAAAAAAAAATTGGGCCTATTTTTGAAAGCTCAATCACAATTTTTATGTGCCAGATTCGATCAGATTTTCGAATGATACCTAGTATTACTACCGGACAATCAGATGTTTATTTGTAAGTTAGCTAACAGCCTTGTCCGTAGTTTTTTTTTTTTTCTTTAATCCAAATTTTACTATCTTCGATCTATTCTCCAATTTTTCTTATTTGAAACTGTTTTTGCCTTCTCCAATCTTTTCTTGCCAAGAGTTTCTATCACCGGAATCCACTGGATGAGAGTTTTTCGTCGTCGGAAAATAAAGGTGGCCGGAGAAGAGTTATCGGTCAATTTCGGTTATATAAAAAAAAAATAAAAAAAATAAAAAAAAGAGATCTTTTTGAAATGAAGATAAAGCCACTGCATAGCTTCTCAAATTAATTTCGATGAAGTTGAAAAAATTCCTTAGAAAAGTAAAATTCGCTTAGGCGACAGGAGACAATTTTATTCATACTATATATCTTTTATTAGAATTTAAATATACATGTTAAATTTCTTTCATTATATACATTAATTTTTATTTTAAAAATATCAATAATATAATTCAAATAATAAAATAATATCATAACATATTTACATTTATGAGCAAAGTGAGTATATTATTTCATAGAGAAATACTTCCTCCTCCAGCGAAATTAGTCGCGTTTTTTTTTTTTTTTTTTTTTTTTTTGCGGAGTTTAAAAGAAAATTTAGTTTATATAGTTAATTAGTGTGATTAGATAATATAATATGTGTAATAAAATGTTATTTTAACTATTTTTATTTGATGAAATATTAAAATAAAAGTTGAAATATTTTTTATTTTATTTTATTTTACTTAAATTTAATATTTTATTTATTGAAATTATTTTACTTTAAAAAAATATTATTATATTGATTGTAAATTGTGCAATTAGATAAAAAATAAATAAATGTAATAATTTAACTACAAAAATGTTATTAGTAATACTACAATTTTTAATATAAACAAAACATCAAATTTTTTCGAATTTGATTGTTGATAGGGATAGTTCCATATTACATACCAAAATTTATAACACATATTTTATATATCGTACCAAAATTTTTAGTATGTTATTTTATCGTAATGAGATATTGTACCAATAATTTGATATACCGAATTTATAGATGAAATAATATTGAATTACAAAAATAACACATATTGTACAAAAAAAAAATACCGAAAATGTCAAATTTTAGTATACCGAACTTTTTTTTTATGGTATCGATATTTTTTTGTTAATATACCAAAAAATTCGGTGTGGTATACAATATAGTTCAGTATTATCTTAATACAGTATCGAGTCATTTCTAATCGAATTACATGTATGGTATCATAATATAATATTTTACACCGAAATATAAAAATTAAAAATAAATTTAAAATTTTAAGAATATATTTGGAAAATTAATTATTTTAGTATCAATATACTAAATTGTTGATATAGACTGATATATCAAATACTAAAATATCAAACTGTATTGATATTTTCTGTATATATTATACCAACAATGCTAAAAGTATATGCAATTGTCGTACTGAAAATGTTTGGTACGATATCATACCATATAAAAATTTATGATATACAATAATTTTGACACTTTGGTATTTTTTTCATACGATACCTGCATTATTTGAGCAAATTGATATTTTTCTCTTAATAATAGTGATAAATGAATTTTTTTAATGAAATATAAAAATCAAATTCTAAATTAAATCTCATTATTAACTAATTTTCAATCGTAAAATATCAAATCAAATATATTTTATATTATATTAAAAAGTAATTAAAAATTTTAAACATCACATAAACACTTATTATATTATATTGAATATTTATTAATTTTTATTATTCAAAATTCAAGCTCTACTTTTAAATTTACAATAAAATAAACAATAAAAATTAAGAGTATTAATAATTGAATAAAATATAATTAAATTTGTAATTGTACTTAGTATTTACTAATTATTACTATATTAAAAAATATGACTAATTTTGCGGGACGATAAAAAAAAAAAAAAAAAAAAGACTAATTTCACGGAAAGAATAAAGCATATATTATATTAGCCTCAAAAAATAAGTTGATTTGTATTAAATATAAAATTTTAATAAATATTAATATTATATTAATTTTTCGTAAAAATATAAATAAAAAAATGCCTTTAAGAGTGTCTTAATTTAGAAGACAGCATTGTATAATAATAATAAATAAATAATTTAAAATAATATGATTATTTATTAAAATAAGAATTTTATTTTAAATTTAAAAATAGATGATTTAAATTTGAAGCTCGAATAATTCAAAGTCCTAAAAGAACACATTATTGTTATTTTTGGCCTCCATTCAAATAGATAGATTCAACCGGTCGGACCGGGTCTACTTCGAAACCACCGGTCCTCCACGTCATCGTCGTCTCCGGCGTCTCTGCAACTGCTCCGACAGCTCCGCCGCAAACCGATCAAAATTCCCGGCCGCCGATCCATTCTCCGCCGCCGCCGCCTGCAGAACCTTCCCCACCTTCTCAACCTCCTCCTTCAACCCCTTCCTCATCTCCCCCTCCATCAAACCCCCAATCTTCTCTGCAACCTCCTCCTCCTTCAAACTTCCGCCATTAACGCCGCTCAGATTCACCCCAACCTTCCAATCCTCCACCACCAGCTTCCTGTTCGTAATCTGATCGGTAAAAACCGGAAAACAGATCATCGGAACTCCATGCCAGATGCTCTCCAGAATTGAATTCCATCCACAGTGCGTTAAAAACCCTCCCGTCGCCGGATTCCCCAAAACCTGATTCTGATTGCACCACGTCACCACTTTCCCCTTTCCCCTAACCCTAATCTCAAATCCCTCCGGCAAACCACTCCCCCCGCCGTCGCCGTCGCCGGAATCCACCATCCCCGGCCGGAGCACCCACAAAAACCTAACCCCACTCCTCAAAAGCCCGCCGGCTACGGCGCCGATCACCTCCCTATCAATCTTCACAAAGCTTCCGAACGACACGTAAAGTACGCCGCCGGCGGGCTGCGAATTCAGCCACTCCGTACAGTCCGATTCCGGCAGAAAACTCCGGGCAATTTCGCAACTCTCCGATTCCCTCACCATCGGTCCGATTGCGTAAAACGGCACCGTTTCATTCAAACCAGAAATCGCCGCCGGTTCGAGCTCCGCCGGCGTGTTGCAGAGAACGAAATCGGCGGATCTGACGGCCTGAAACGAATCGAAAAGGAGATGATGAATCGGCCCGAGCTCAGAATCGTGAAGGTACGACACAAAATCTTTAGTATTGATCGAAGGGATTCCCGGCAAGTAGTCGACGTTCTTCCACCGGCCGGCGACGGGAACGTCGCCGTTCCGGCGGAGAAGGTCAAGGTGGTAGTAGAGAGAGAAAACGACGGCCGGTTCGGTCCAGAACGAGACGTTGACTAACCCTAACTTTCCGGCGACTTCCGCGGCCCAAATGGAGAAAGTATCGGCGACGAGGAAGAACTCCGGCGAGGATGGATTGGCCTGAATAATTTCTCCGACGAACTCTGCAACTATGTCGGGAAGTCTGTGTCTAAAGGAGTGGAGGAATTGGTCGTGGTGGGCTTCCCGGTCGAAGTCGATGGGGAGGCCGTCGGAGAGAGTGGTGTATCGGATGTCGAAGCCTGCGGCACGGGCGCCGGCGAAGGGGTCTCCGGCGCCGGCGGCGGAGATTTGGCGGTGGACGAAGTGGAGGTGGGCGAAGGTGACGGTGAAGCCCCTGGAGGCTAGGGATAGGGCTAGGTGGATGAAGGGGTTGATGTGGCCCTGGAGATGGAGAGAGATCATGATGGCATGTGGCTGCTGTAATTGTACGGCGGCGCTGTCCGCCATTAATGCCTGATAGCTCAAGCTCGTCTTTTATTGTTCCTAACGAAACATCAATTATATAGACGAAGGTTGTAAAAAAAAAAAAAAAACAAAAACAAAAACAAAACAAAACGTCTTATAATACTATTACAATAATAATTTTTTAAAAAATTATATAAATATAAAAATATTTTTAATATTAAATATAATAATATAAAAAATAAATAAAATTCTTAGATCGGACGAGGTGATAATTATTTATTTAATAAATAAATATGAAAAATGAAAAAAATTCTCAAAAATAATTAAACAAATATTTATTTTTTATACTTTCTTCGTCCTAAAACAGTAAACTTATTTTACTATTTTTGTACGTTCTAAAACATTAGTTTAATTTTTATATTTGGTAACTAAGTTTCTGACTTTTTTATAAAATTATCTTCACTTTTTCATAATAACTACGTAAAGTATATTTTGGTCTTTTAAAAACATTTTTACACCAACTATCAATATAATATTATTATTTTTTAATTTTCGTATCAATTTCAAATGTCCCTATTATTTTGGAATTGAAGGAGTATTATATTTATATTGGTCTAATTTTTGTGGCTATATTATTATAAATACGAAAATTTATATAAATATATTTAGTAAATAATTAAAAATTATATTAATAAAAATAATTACATATGCATTTTTAATAATTTATTATAAATTATATAATGCGGACTAAAATAGAAAAATATATTGTAACTTATACTCTCTACGTTATTCAAATTTTATGTTCATTTTTTTTTTTGTTTGTCATTGAAAAATATTCTTGTTTCTTTTTTAAGTAAAAAAATTATTACATTTTTGTACTTTTTTTTACTATAAAAGAGAAAAATAACAATTATTACTCACTTTTATTAAAATTCGTGTCCGGTCAAATAAACACACATTTGCATGACCGAGGGAGTATATGAAATATCAAAATGAAAAGGAAAATATTTTACATAGCACCAAAAAATTATTAAAAAATAATTTTATATTTAAAATATTATATCAATATCTATTTATATCACGTTACCGCTATTTTGATTCAAAATTTTTATTATTCAAATTTAAATTAAAAATTCAAACGGCAAACAAAGCACACCCGAAGAGGTAAGTTTGGCACTTTTGTTTTTATTACAATAGGGTATGCTTCTTTTCAATGTTAGATGAATATGGCTCCATATACTTTCCCATCTCAATTTAAAATCACTATACTATGTAAACACAAGAATTAATAAATATAATTAAAAATAAATTACTAAAATTAGTTATAATATAATACAAATAATTTAATTTAAAATTAAATTGATTAATTGGTCTAATTAAAATTATAAAAAAAAATATTATAGATTATAAAATCTAAAATATAATTAAATTGTGTAATAATTTTCAAAAATATATCATGACATAATGTTATGTGAGACAAATAAAAATAAAAAATATAATATTATATATGAGAGGGAGAGAATATTAATATTAGAAAATATATAATATATATATATATGATACAATTTTTTTTTTGTTTCAATTTAATTCATCTATTTGATAACTTTTGTCAGTCTAAATTAAAAATATATTTTTTCAATTATAGTAAAATAATTATACGTAACTTCAAAATATTTTTTTTTTACAAAAAATGGAGTGTTCATTTTTATTTTTTTGTCCAAATGCAAAAATATCAAAATTATATTAAATATTTTCACTGTCCCTAAATACTATTCCCCTAGTCTTGGAAGAAGAGTATTGTTTGTTTTTTGGAAGCAAATCTTTTAAAATTAATATTATATTGGTATGTAATAAATAAATATCTTTATCAGTTTGTATAAAAATAATGATATTTGTGCAATATATTATAAATTATAATTGTATTTATTATGTTAGGTAGATAATATAATTAATAAATTAAGTAACAACACATTTGTTTTAAAATCGACAGAAATAGAAAATGACATCTTTCTTTTGAGAGGAGAGGAATATTATTCTTTAATTTATTAAAAAAAAAAAAAAACAAGTGTATACTTCCCACTTAGATAGAAAGAGTATATTTTATCAATTTATAAAGGGTGTATTTGGAAATTAGCATAGCTTTTAGGTGTTAGTTGATTCAATTAGTTGTTAGCTGATTTAATTAGCTGATTTGACTAGCTGATTCAATTAGTAGTTTGTATTAAAGTGTTTGGTAAAACAATTGTTTGACATTAGTTGTTTATACATAACTATTAAGAACATTAATATGTTATTTTTTAAAATATTTAATTTTATTCATTTTGGTTTGAAATTTATGAGAATTTTTGTATTATTGAAAATTATAAAAATATTATAAAATATTTATTTTTATTTTTATTATTTAGATTTGAGAAAATTATTTTTACTAAAAAATAATAACATTTTATTGAAATTATGTAAAATGTAAAATAATAAATCTTTCGTATATATGATTTTATTATGTTAATTATTGTTTTAATATATAAATAAATTAATAACCTTTTTTTTTAATTTGATTTAGTTTTAAAATTTTATATATTTTACAAATAAAATAATTTATATGTAATAATTAATAATAGTAATATTTTAAAGGTAAATAAGGAATAATCAAAATTAAAATAAAAAAGATGTTGGGTAGATGAGCTTTTCAGAAATTAGTTTTTTAAGTCCAAAAAACTCTTTCAAAAAACTAATTTACCAAATACCTAAATTAATTTTTTGACTAATCAAACAGCTAAAAGTTGTTCAATAAGCTAAAAACTCATTATAAATAATGAGCAAAATATATTATTTATATTAGTAAATAATAAATGAGACTCAGCCCGGGAGTATATTATTTATACTAAAATGGAAACTTCAATTTTTTTAAAAAAAAAAAAAAAAACAAACAAAAGAGAAGTGTTTTTTTGGTTGAGTTTCCCATGAATTTAACACCAACTACTAATATACATTATCAGAATTTGCAGATCTTAATTTCCCATAATAATTAATTGTTATTATTATTATTTTATGCTTAGAGCATGTGAATGGTCTAAGTGAGAAAAAGTCTCTAATTAGGTTGTGTTCGATCCGTGGATTTCAGTTTTTTTCATTTGAATTTTGAATGGTTGTTTGGTGTGATATTTTGAATGTAAAATAAATTTGTAGTATAATATTAAAAAAGAAAATTAACTGTTTAATGTGATGTTTTGAATGTAAAATAAATTTATAATATAATATTAAAAAAATTAATTGTTTGATGTGATATTTTTGAAAAAAAAACAAATTTGAATAATAAAAATCTATGATAAAATCTATAAAATAACACAACTTTATTACTTAGGTAACGTTGATGTGTCATCTATGCCTTCTTATTCAAGCACTTTTCTTAAAATAATTGAACAATGATTCTTATAAAATCTTCTTATACTATAAAAGTTACATGACACTCCCTTATACTTTCAAAAAAATTGTCTGAAATCCACCTCTATGAAACTTCCGTTGTGTGATGAGATGATTTTCTATCCATATTTTTTGCATGACGTGGGGTTTCATGCAATATTTTTTAAAGTATAAAAGAGCGTCATGCAATTTTTTTTTAAGTAAAGTGGAGATTTACATTGAATTTCGAAACCACAAAGAAGTTCCATGTGATGTTTCTTAAAGTATAAAGGGACTCAATGCAATTTTTAAAATAAATTAAGAATTTACGCTGAGTTTGCAACTACAATGAAGATATGGACAATTTTGTCTATAATTTATACTATATTCTATTAATATATGTTAAGTATGATATATGAAATATGCAAAATTTAAAATTCCTTTTTGCATCTATTTTTGGCATATAAGCAAGTCTGCAGATGTGTTATTGTAATTATTGGTCGACACCATGTCAAAAAACACAGACAGAAGGTTGATCAGGTACTTAATTTGGTTATATTGAAATGTGTTTCATACACGTTGGAATAAGAAATATATATATATATATGCCCCGATAAAATGGACATGCATGATAAGTCAATGAAATGTTCCTTTCATCATGCATGGCATTTATGATCTCGTACACAGTACACAAAACTTTATACATAGTCAACTTTGTCTTGTGTGTGCTAATTGTATATTTTGCGTATCTGTGAGTGTTTGAATACGTAGAGACACACAACGCTTTCTTAAATGTTTTCTCTTTCTTATAGAGTGTTGAAAAATGCATTAATTGCTTTGAAGTCGACGAAGAGAATGATTTCATGGAAGTTAGTTAAATGGGTATTGTGAAAAATAAATGTGCTGTGAAACTGTGTCGAGGATGAATCCTCTTTTCAAAAATTAGATACGCTCCAATAGTGCCTGCGATGGCCAGCGTTCTAACTCAAAGCTATAATGATTTTCGTCTCCGATAAAAGTGGCACATTGGATCGCCGGAGCTCCAACGAACAAAACGAGGGAGGAATTGATATTGAGAGATTGCCGAAAAGTTAGAAGAGCTGATGTTTTTGAATGAAGGGGGAGACCCTTTGTATAGGCGTCTCCACTCTGCCAAAATGGCAGGGATCAATTACGATCACAATTACGACATTAATTACCGATGAAATTTATACTAATTTTAAACATTCCGTTTGAAACGATCGTAAGTTATTCTAATTTCAAATTTTTCGTTTGTAACGTTATAATAAACCCATGCAATGGATAATATTTTATCAAGATAATACTACGATTTAGACCATATACCGAGTTTAACTTAGGACTGCACAATTTTGTTTGTCTCGAGACAGACAAAATAACTCAAATATTAACCTAAGTCTCATATTCAATAAATAAATGATATTTATATATTTTATTCAAATTAATCCAATTAATTTGGTTCACTGGACGTCACATTTTAACTCACCGATTAATCGGTTGCGTAAATTTCAAATTTAATTTTTTAACATTAAATTCCACCGATTAATAGCCGATTATCCAACTATGGAGTCAAAACCTAAGGAGATAACCAACTAGTATGTCACTTTACTCTTAGCTTAACGGCTGGTTTGCAGAAGTTATCGAATTGTAACTATCAATCCATTTGTGTTTGTAAAACGATACGAAACTTGGATAGATGATAGGTTTGATAGTTGTGTTTGATGTGTTGTATAATGTAAACCAAGAGTTTAGTTTAATTAAGATTCTTTTATTGGAATCCATAGGCATTTTGAATACCGATATTGTTGTTTTTTTTATTATTATTATTTGCAGTCATTCAGTAATTGATTTGTGTACAAACATACACTGTTGTTTTAACTGCATAACAATCACGTAGTGTTAGCTGTATTTACGTCAATATGTTTTATAACTCCGCTGTACAATTAACTCGGAGAAGTTAGATCTCTTATTCGATTGGCGCTCTCGATTTTCAACCATTTATATTATTTTTTTATGAATATGTGCGGATTGGGCATAGTAATCTGTATTTTTGTAAATATATATGTAAATAAATAACTAAATAATGTACTTTGGAGATTAGAAACGAATTCAACTTCACTAGGTATGATTTTTTAAATTAAAATTCCATTGACTATTATTTAAATATTTACGTACTCACACTCGAGAATCAGTCAATTTTCAATTGGGTTTGAACAAAATTAGTTGCTGCTGCTGCTTCTCGTTTAATTTAATTCTGACCAAATTGTTGAACATCTTTGACTAATTTCTCAGTCGTCCTTTTTCTCCTCCTACTTGGGAATTGCAACTAACATTCCTCCTCCATTATCTTTTCAAATGTAATGTGTAACGTACACTCCATTACTTTGACTTGGACCAAGGCCACAATAATATTAAATAGTCAAAGTCAAACAACCACTGCCTACATTAATTAATCAAACAATTAAGACATAAATGTGCACTCAAAAAGGTAACAAGTAACAAGAAATCACTCACCCCCTAACCTGATCTGAATACTAATATATCTAAATATATATATATATATACACTTGAAATTTGAACATACTAAAAATGAATTAATACCTTAGTTGCATTTGCAGTCACATCACAGAGCACCCATTAGGATTCTCGTCGCTGAACATCTGATCATTTATGTTCATGTACGGCGGCGGCGGTCCCGGCCTGTATTCGTACCCATAATTATGGTTTCCGTAACCATGGTTAACGTAATTAGGATGATGGTAAGCCTGCACGCCGCCATAGTATTGACTGCCGTACATTTGAGGAACCTCTGCATAATGAGTCTCTGGATTGAGGCTATGGTACTCCATTTTACTGACTTTTTCCACTTTCGCCACCTCCTCTCCGCCGCCGCCGCCGCCCTTTTTAACGGGGGCGGTGGATGGGGGAGGAAGAGTGTCTACAGTTCTTTTGAGCTTTTCTTGGAGATATGAAGTGAGGTTCTTCACATTCATCGTCCCTGTCACTGTAACCAAATCCTTCTGCAAATCTGTTGTGACAGAGGTTATTCCTGTGCGGTAAAAAAAATGGTTTGTTTTGGTGAGGAAGAAATTCGATTAATGGAATTTGAGGGTGATTAATGGCGGAAAAGGCTTACCATCGATGTTCTTGGTTATGACTCGCTTTATTTTGTCCGCGCATCCGTCGCAGTGCAGTTTGATCTTCATCACGGCTGTACTGATGATCTTCGCAGGCTGTAAAAAAGATGAACAACACAGATTTGATTTTAATTCAATTTCATATATATTATCGTGAATTGTGTGATTGATTGTTGTTAATTTGTACCTCTTTCGGTTGTTTCTTGTCGTGATCGTCGGATTTGTTCTTTGCTTGGTTGCTGCTCTTCTTGTCTGATTTCTCTTCCGGCTTCTTGGCGCCGGCGCCGGAGTTCTTTGGGGTAGGGGAAACGAGGTCCACTTTCTTCTTGGTCTTTTGCTCGACTTTCTCCCGGAGCCACGTGGGGTCCACGTCGCCGATCACGGTCAATTTGTTGCTATCAGAATCGGCTTTCACTTTCTCGACACCTTCGCAGAGATGAGGTCAAAGAAACACAGAAAATTAGGGTTTCGAATTGGGGAATTCCAATTAGCAACTAAACTGAAGAACACCATTGGGAAACTTCAACAACAAAATTTCACAGGCGATTGTAGCGATTGAGCAGAAACTTTTATTCCTAATTAGATGGTAAGTTAGCAACTGAGTGAAGAACACCATTGGAAATCTTCGACAACAAAAATTTCACAAGCGATTAATTGTGTAGAAGCATTTATCCCTAAATTCATACAAACAGGATTGCGATTGGAATTTGGAAATGGTGGATAACCAAACACCATCTGCGTGTTGCCTACCTAAGTCCTAACCACCATCAAAGCACACACACCACATTCAAAATCAAAATTGAAAAACTCCAGTACCTTCGAATTGGCCAACGGCTCGTCGAACTTTCTTCGCACATCCTTCGCAATGCAAGTCCAGCTTCAAAACGACGTTGGTTTTCGACTCTCCGCCATCCGCAGCCTTCTTCTCCGCTTCAACTTTCTGAAACGCAATCAGCGACCATAAAATGGTGAGCAAAACATTATATATTCAAACAAATCAATGGCACTTCGGATAACAACATGTACAAGTTCGAAGCGATCGATTACCTGACCCATCCGACGAATCTTCACCTCCCGAGAAGCACCAGAAATTTGGAATATACAGAAACTTTCGAATACAACACAGGCGAAGAATTGCGGTAACCGTCGTCGGTGGAGCGTGTGTATATATATAGAGAGAGAGAGTCAGAGAGAGAATGCAGCGAGCTTTCGAGGAAGAAGCGAGATAAACATGTGCATGTTTTGGGTGGGGCTTTGTCATGTCCGCTGCCTTATACCGACTCACCCACTACCCTTGACTCTATAAAATTACTATTTTACCCTTCCACGTTTTATTTATTTTTTAATAATTTTTTTAATGTTGAGAAGGCGCGTAGAAAACTACTGCTATTACCAATTTCCAAATAATTATTAAGTACCAAATTTAGGGCTCTAACAATTTATCTCTTTATTTGTGACGAGAGTTAACTTTTTATTTAAATAATATTTTAATTTGATATTTTATATAAAAATTATACTATCTTCCTCCGAAAGAAGAGTAATATTTATTTTTTAGAGGGAGATTTTTTAATATTAGTAGTATTATATTGGTTTATAGTAAAAAGATAAAAATATTTTTATTAGATTATATGATATAAAAGTAATAACATTTGTGTAATATATTAGAAGTTGTAAGAGTATTAATTAGTAAATAAGAAAATAATATCCTTGTTTTGGGCAGACAAAAATGAAAAATGATATCCTTCTTATGTGACGGAGGGAATATTTTTTTTAATTGTCTGTTAAATTTATTTTATTACTACCTTTGTCTCTATTTAATTTTTGCGTATTAATATTTAAATATTAATTATTATATCAAAACGTCGTATAAATTAAAAAAAAAAGTATTTATATTAATGTCTTTAGATATTTTTAATATTAAATAGAATGACGCAAAAGATAAATATAACTATTGTATTTTAAAAAATAAATTAATATATTTTTTCAATACTTATTTATAACAAATATAATTAATTTTATTATTTTTTATTTTTATTTTTTTAATTATTAATTAAAATTTTAAAAATATTTCAATTATTTTTTAAATAAAATATTTATTTTTCGTGCCAAACTCAAATTGACCGAACACCACATGACATGTCGGAGAGAGTAATATTTTTGTTAGAAATCTCTTAAATAAATAGTAAAAAAAAAAAAAAAAAAAAAAAAAAAAAAAAAAAAAGAAGAAGAAGAAGGAAAAGAACTTATAGGTGTGTTTCTTCGGGGTTTAGATTTTGAATTGAAATTTAAATAATAAAAAATTAGAAAAAATTATTTTCGGTTCAAATATAATGAAAATTTATCAATTTTGGTTTCAATATAAAAATCTTATAAATTTTGGTCATAATATAACCAAACTCATCATTTTTTGTTCCAATATAACCAAAACTATCATATTTTGTTCCAATATAATTTTTTTTTATCAATTTTAGTCTAAAAAATAATCAAAACTCATCATTTTTTGTCTCAATATAATCAAACATTATTCTTTTTGGTTCCACCGTCAACAAATCGAAAAAAAATGCTGACGTGGACTTTCAAAATTGTGAAATTTCTTAAAATATAAATATAATGTTTGATTTCTTTTGACGTCAACATTTTTCCGTCGGTTTGTTGACGGTGGGACAAAAAAAAGATAAGGTTTGATTATATTTGGACAAAAAATGATGAGTTTTGGTTATATTTGAACTAAAATTGATAAAAAAATTTATATTGTGACAAAAAATAATGAGTTTTGGTTATATTGGGACAAAAATGATGAGTTTGGTTATATTGGGACTAAAATTGATAAGATTTTTATATTTGGACCAAAATTGATAAATTTTGATTATATTGAGACAAAAAATAATTTTTTTCCTAAAAAATTTGTATTGAAATAGTTGTATTATGTGATATAAATATGTGTTGATGTGATGTTTTGAATGTAAAATTAATTTTAGTATAATATAAGAAATGAAAAATATGTATTGTATTTGATTTTTTAGGGAATTTTTTTTTTTTTTTAAAGAATAGTAAAAATTTGAACAAATCTTCCTAACAAACACACCCTAGGAGTATTTTTGTTAATTAGTAAAGTACAAAATTCTCAAGTATTATAATTATAAATATTTTTTGGGTGTTTTTATTGATTATTTAATATTCTTTTCGTCCCATATAAAATATCAATTTTGTTTCATTTTCGTTCGTCTCAAATAAGTTGTCATTTTCTCATTTGAAAATATAATTATACACTTTAATCACATTTTAAATTCTATAATTTATAAAAAAAAATTTAATTTTACTTAAATTATTTAACTATATTAATCTTAATTTATAATTATTTTTATTATACAATAATTATTTTTAATTATATATTTTTAATTTTTTACTAATTATATTTACCTAAATTCTCATATTTAAAATAATCTACACAAAATACATAAAACGAATGGAATAATACTTTTAGGGTATGTTTGTTTGGGGATTGGATTGGATTTATACTATTCATCCAATTTTTTTTCCCAAAAAACATCAAATCAAACATTTATTTTTTATTTTTTATATTATACTAAAAATCAATTTTACATCAACGCCTATTTATATCATATCATACAACTATTCAAATTCAAAATTTTTACTATTCAAATCTCAATTTAAAATTCAAAGCCCCCAAACAAACACACCCTTAAGTGCACTTAAAAACATACATCTAAATATAAATCTTAAGTCACAGTATATTTTTTTACTTTATAATACTACATAAAATGTTTTTTCCAAAAATTATAGCTATATTTATTTAATACTCCTCTGGTCCATCTAGAAAGTATACATATTTCTATTTTAGGACGTCCAAATACAAATAATTATTTCATTAAATACCCTAATATTTTTTTCCACAAATACCCTTACTTTACATCACATAATTACTTTTATAAAAAAAAAACAAAGATACTATTATTAACTACCCACTATAAATAAAATATTATTCCCTCCGTCCCAAACAAGGTGCTACATTTAAGTTCGGCACGAGATTTTAGGTGAGAAGTATTAAGTAGGATAATTGAGTAATTAGGCCATGTGATGAAGAGAGAAATATATATTTTATTTGTTTTATTAGGACAATACGATGGGATAAAGTGTATGAATATAAATTAAGTATAATTAATTATTTTATAATTTAGAAATATTGCAAGGTGTTTGAGACATATTAAAAAGGAAATATTAGACGATGTTTGGGACAAATGGAATATTATTTTTTAAACTTTACGCTAAAAGTAAATATATATTTCTTAAGTGATAATATATTTCTTAAGTGAACGGAGAGATTATATATTTTCAAAAGGTTCAAATTTTATTGTGAAATTTAAAAACTTTATATTTAGCGTACTTTTTTATTATTATTATTATTATTAAAATAGATAATATAATGTTACTCAATTTAATTATATGATTACTATGTATTATTATAATCCAAAATAAAGTTAAATTCGAGATATAATATAGCTATTGAATGACTGGCACACCTAAAGCCAATCGTTATTACTTTTTCCGTCCCATGTAATATAGGTGTATTACTGTAGACACGAGAATTTAAGTAAAGTATAATTAGTAAATAATTAAGAAATGTATTAGTAAAAATAATTATTATTTAGTAAAAATAATTATAGATTAAGATTAAGATAAGTAAATAATTTAATTAAAATTTAAAAAATTATAAAATTTAAAATGCTATTAAAGTGCATAATTATATTTTCAAAAATAAAAAGGACAAATTATGTGGGACGGATGAAAATAGAAAATAGGGACAAATTATATGAGACGGAGGGAGTATCTTTCTTGTAGGTGCAATTAAATTAAAATATTATTAATATTAAAAATATATTTTTTTATTGTTATTAAAAATTAATTTACTATCATTATTTTTATCATATAATTTAAAATATTTTGACAAATTTAATAAGTTTATGCAATAATCAATTAAACTAAATACTGAATTATTATATAATTATACTCCCTCCACCCCGCAACTAAATATTTATTTGCTTTTCGCACGTAGTATATTGGGATATAGTAGGAATAAAGTAGAAATGACTAAAATAACCTTATTAGTACGTGTGATATGAATGTAATGACATTTGTGTAATATATTGTAAGTTGTAAGGGTATTTGTAATGTTAGGTAGATAATACAGTTACTAAAAAAAAGAAATGGATACTTTATTATAGGACGGACTGAAATGGAAAAATGAAGACTTTGTTATGGAACGGAGGGAGTATAAGTTATTAGAATAATATACTCCTCAGTCCCATAAATATAGTCTTAATTAGGTTGAGTTCGAGATTTAATGAATATTGATATTATATTAGTAATTGGTAAAAAGTATAGATAAAAGACTTTTTTGTCCTTGTGAGTGTATTAATGTAAAAAATAGTAGTAATTGTGTAATAAAAAAAATAAAAAAATAAAGGTAGTTTAATTGTGATATGGTTATTTATGAAAATAAAACTATCGTTTTAAAACGAATAAAAATGATAAACAAGACTGATATATTGAGACGAATGGAATAGTTATTATAATCATATCTCACAAAATAAACACACCACCGTAACATAGCAATAAACTCAAATAATTTAATTAACACGCGTATATTCCAAAATTATTTGGAACAAAATATTGAGTTACGATAATGCATTTATTAATTTAATTCAGTGAGCTAAACATAAATCTTTCCGTTATATTAGATGATGTTAAATTTGTCATATTGGATGATAATACTCCCTTCGTTCCAGATACCATATCCATGTTACCGTTTCTGTCCATTCCACATACCATGTCATTTTCTTTTTTATTAAAAAAATAATTACACACTTTAATCTCATTTTAAATTTTTTAATTTTATTTTTAAAAATTTAATTAAACTAATTAGTTATCTTAATCTTAATTTATAATTATTTATATTATAGAATAATTATTTCCACTAATATATTCTTAATTATCTATTAATTACACCGCTTCTAAAACAGTGTCTACAGTGCAGCACGGAGGGAGTAATAAAATTCTAAGAAAATTTATTAAATATCTTATTCTAAATATATTGTATAGGTTAAAATATATTAATAATGCATATTACATTTTACGTGTTGGTTGATTTTCATAAAAATATAAATAAATAAATAATATATATTTTTAACTGTTTAAATTTTTAGGTGGGGGTTATTTATTTCATCTAACATTATAAAATATTCTCTCTGTGCGGATTCAAAATATTCTTTTTTATTACTTTTGTTTGTCCCATCAATTTTTTTTTTTTTTTTCGTAAAAATAATTTAACACTAATATCAAACAACTATTAACTTTTTATAAATAAAAAAAATATAAAAAATTCATACCACTTTCGCTAATTAATAAAATACTGCTATTATTTTTTTAATTTATTACAAAACTAGACGCTTTAAATTGGAATAAAAAAAATTTATTATATTATATTAATATAAATAATGTATGTTGCCTATTATTATATCATGCATTTATATAAATAACTTCAGCTGCAAAAAAAAAAACATAAAAATAAAAATAAAAATAAATAAAAAATACCAAATTATTATTTTAGGGGATTGGATTTTTTTTCACTATTCATCCAATTTTTTTTTTCCAAAAATATCAAATCAAACACTTATTTTTTATTTTTTATATTATACTAAAAATCAATTTTACATTCAAAACATCGTATCAACACCTATTTATATCACATCATACAACTATTTAAATTTAAAATTTTTACTGTTCAAATCCCAACTTAAAATCCAAACCCCCAAACAAACACAACCTAACTTTATTCTATTTATACAATATAGTAGAGAAATGAATGTCATGAATATTCTGTGATATAACTAAATGATGGTGATAATATTGTTATATAATTCTCCTACGTTCAAGCAAAAAATATACATTTACTTTTGATACGAAGTTTAAGAAATAATAACATTTTAATTATAGTGGGTAAGTAAAAGTAGTGTAATAATATTTTTGTCCTTATTTTTTTGGTATATAAGCTATGATGTGATGTAAATTAAAAGTATTTATGAAAAAAATAGGATATTTAATAAAATAGTTACTTTGTAAAAAAAAAAAAATTTGATAAATTAACTTCAAACAAATAAAAATGATAATTATTTTTCAGTACAAGATTATTATTATTACTCCTTCCGTCCCACGTACAGTGTCTGCTACACTGTACACACGACATTTTAGGAGAGATGTAATTAGTAGATAATTAAGAATGTATTAGTGAAAATAATTATTCTATAATATAAATAATTATAAATTAAGATTAAAATAACTAATTAGTTTAATTAAAATTAAAAAAATAAATTAAAAAATTTAAAATGAGATTAAAGTGTGTAATTATTTTTCAAAATACGAAAGTAACATGGAATATGAACGGACAGAAAAAAAACGACAACGTGAATATAATATTTGGCAGGGAGGGAGTATTAAATTGGAGGGACCTTTTTTTTTTTAATTGGAGGGACTTTAGGTGCAGATGCAAGACGTTGACAAGTGAATTGTTATTTTACGCATGGAAGAAATCGCTAGTTGGTTTTAGCGATTTTAGGGGACAGTATTTTATAAAGGTGTAGCGCTTTTTAGATCCCGTTGAAGGTCTCGTTTGTCCCAAAATTGATATCCTGACGCAAGTTCTGGTTTCCTTTCACGGGGGAGGGAGAGGGTGATTTGTAATGGGAGGTTGGGAGCATTACGATTGCATTTTCTTTTTGTCGCGTTCTGTGCAGGCTGGGGCAGTTGGTAGGATTGGAAATGGAGAAGTTCAGCGGCGACTGGCTTGTTGAATTTGGTGGAGTCTTCTGCCGCGAATTAATGGTGAGTGTCTACCGTGTTACAATGGAGTAGGTTTTACGTCTGCACTGTGGAAAAGTTTGGTTTGGTTTCTTTCGATTAAGTGCGGTTCTGTTTACGTGTGCGTTTTGTATGTGTCCGAGTCGTGCCAGATTACGCGGATGGTTGATTTTTTTTGTCTTCTGTATGCCCGACCAGTTTTAGATTAGTGGTTAGATGAATGACCGACAGTGAAGGTATAATTAGGGCTTTTTGAAGATATTGCTCACGTAATGTAATTGTGAACCCTAATTTTTTGTAATGTCACATTTTTTGAATGAGTAGAGTATGATTCCATTTTCTTTGGTTTGAGTAATGATGCGTAGAAAAAGTTAGACTGAGTAATGAATAACTTTTATATTATTATGGTAGTAGCATTCATTGAGTTGGTTGATCTAATAGATGGACAATGTGCATACAGTGCAGAGGTTTATATGATATTTGACAGCCTTATTGTATGCTTATGATCTAAATTGTGAAATGGTAGGACTAGAAATCTTACAACCACTAAGCACATTCTATTGCATAGATGTTGAAGCATGCGGCTCTCAGATGTCTTGCATTCTTTAGTCTTTAGTTGGGAACAAATGTTCCAACATACCCGAGTCCGACAATGAAAAATGCCCCAGCTTGTAGTAACAAGTAAATGAAAAAATGGTTTTGCCCGAACAGTATGTTGTATATTGCACAATGGAGAAGGTATAATCCTACCAGAAGCTCCAAGATCTGAACCCTGTAATTATATCAGTTACATAGAGTTAGCATGCAACAGTGATAGAATATACTATATTAAAATTCGAACATTGATGTTATCTCAAGTATTTGAGACCACTGGTAAGTAGAACTTATGTGCAAATGTATTACCGCTCTCCAATGCGTGAACGGGGCCTTTTGGGTGCTTTGGTGTACTTTTGCTTCATTGTGTTGCCTAGCTTTTCAGTCACTACCCATTCATTTACCCGGTTGGCTTCAAGGAGTCCTATGATTGCTGCCTTTGATCTATGAAGAGACATGACATTCTCAAACAGTATCCAGAACACAAGAAGATGAATTGACCTGTGACAAGGTAAGTAGAAGCTTCCAATGGTGAGATTTTGAAAACAAGATGATATTGATATGATTAAATTTCAGTTTGCTAATTATAAAATTTTGCCTTAGAGTGGATGCTGCGTTAAGAATCGTAATGCCTGCTGGAAGATAAATAGCTAGGAGCCTTGGAAGATGAACTTCTGGAACTAAGATTGTCGCTGGAATCACGATGCAGTAGAAGAAAAAGGTAACCCAATGTGCTATTATTTTCCTTACAAAGAAGAATGCATATATTACATGCCACTTTTTCCAAATTGACACACGCTGCAATAGGTAAAAAGGGAAAGGTGTAAAATTACATGGAAATTCGACACACAAAAAGATTGCAATAGTTTTCACTGCGAATGAAAAGGAAAGAGTTATAGATTTTGACCTCACACATGATAATTTCTTTCAACATCTTCCTGAAGAGATTAGCCGGTCCACACGACCAACGATGCTGCTGATATCTGTATGCCTTAAATGTACTCGGCAGTTCATTTTTTACCTGATTAGGAAAATTAGAATTTTTTTTTTAACTTATATATTTTAACATGCAAATGGTAAATAGTGCATTAATACCTCTGAGTTTTCAACTCACCGCAAGGTCACCCACAAAGAGGAATTTCCACCCTTTGAGGCTAGCCCTGACTGCGAGGTCCATGTCTTCTACCGTAGTTCTGTCTTTCCATCCTCCTGCATCATTCAGTGCCCTCATCCTCCAAACCCCAGCAGTCCCTGCATTTCAAGCCAAATATATTTGGTGTTCATATTAAGTCTTTACTTGATATGAGAAAATCTCATACTTCAATTATGATTTGTGGATAACCATTGAATCCAAAGAATGAGCATGTTGAAGAGCCCACTTCTTGCTCCACACTGAAGTGATAGTCTAAGGACATCTCTTGGAGGCGAGTCATCAAACATTCATCGGCGTTAACTGCAAAATTAAAATTTTATGTTAAAACTGCGGAAGCCAACTGAGGTCATTTATGATTTCTTTCATATGGTTCCCTAGTTTATGTGGTTCTGTAGTGAAATGAACCACACCATTTACCTTCATACATTTGACTTTGATCTGTATTTATTACCTAATGGATGCGTCCAGTGTTACGGTTATCACTTAGGATGTCCTCTTTGGGGACAATATACTAGCGATCAGTAAACATTCAATACTTCTTTTATCTATTTATTCTATTTTTGTCTTTAATTAATGGTATACAGTAACTAAAGTGGATCTTACCAAATTTCCACCTAGCCTGAACCAAACCTAACTCTGGGTTTGTAAGTAGGTATGGAATAGTTCTCCAGAGAAAATCTTCTTCAGGCTGAAAATCAGCATCAAAGATTATGACAAATTCACAATCCTCGGCATAATCCTTCTTTAGACCGTCCCGGAGAGCGCCTGCTTTGTAGCCATTCCTGTTGTTTCTTGTCTCATACTTGATATTGACTCCTTTCTCTGCCCATCTCCGGCACTCTATTTCTACCATGGTCTGTATATAATTCTTATAATCATTGTAGAGAAATAAAAATCATCAAAGTTTACATAGGGGAAGAAAACATACCCTTAAAACTTCATTGGTGGAATCATCCAAAACCTGCACAATGAGCCGATCTGATGGCCATGAAAGCCCAGCTACCGCTCCAATAGATAGCTTATAAACCTGAATTAAAATGAACACTTAGATCTGGTTCTCCTACATGCCTCAACTTCAGAAGATGCTTTGTGTTCTGTCTCCTTTGAAGCTTCCTGATTTTGTAAGCATGGGCTCCACTTTAAACAGTTGTATGTTATTTATAAGTTTGTTATTTGTTTACTTTATTCCTATTGAATTTACTTTTTCTGGACAACACGCCAATCAAGGATGGTAGTATATGCCTGACTGGTGATTCTGGATTGCCTATACGGTATACACATTTGTTGCTTGTTTCATGCTTCCTGTATGTTTATTGCGCAACTGAATGTATTTGGATGAATTTAAGGCATCATGAGAATGGTAGATACTTCTAATATCTTTACGATTGTAAGAAATGGCGAGATCCATGGTCTCTGCTTTTAAGAAAAGACCTGTTATAAGTTTTGTAGGTAGAATATATTATCCTGAAGTGAACCGAAAAAGGAAGTCATTCACTCTCTGACTTGAATCAACACTTGCTAAGAGCAGATCACCAATGCTCTATAGGTTGACAGATTCCTTATACTCTTTCTAGTTTTGGACTTGGGAATAATTTCAGGTTTCTATGTATGCATAACCATATGTAGTTGATAAACAAGTCACACTTGAGTTTAATCAAGAGACATTTGAGGTTCAAGCTCATATTCAAATCAATGCAAGCTGAAAAAACTACTCATTTGAGCTTGAGTTCAAATTTGGCCCTATTATTAATTGTTTTAATAAAACTGAGCTAAAAAACCAATAGACTACTGTATTATTAATTTGAAAGATTTCATAAATTGATAGTTAGAAAATAATAATAATACTTAGAAACCTATAAATCAAGGGAATCAACCGCCAATAATTCAGCTCAAGCTCTGCTACTTCAAAATTTGAGTTGATTCATGCTGTGCTCAAGTGCAAAATACACCAAGCCAACTTGACTTGTCTTGAAACTAAATATTTTTTGATAACGCTGAAACTAAATATTTTTAATTAGATGGTAAGTGGCTGTTTTTTCTACTTTACTTCTACTTGAAACTACTATCCTAGTTTTAATTGCAGAGTAAATTTATTTAATCATAATGTATTACTAAAATACAGCAGAAGTAAATATTGTTACCTCTTTTTCATTGAACATTGGGATTTGAATCAGTACTTTTGGGTAGTTTTTGTTTTTCTCCAGGTCGTCTTTGATGGCATCTAGTTGATACTTGGTGTATCTTTTCTTCCCCAAGCATTTGACACAAGCAATCACTATAGCCATATAAACACGCTCAAGAAAAAGCATAACAGACATGGATATGCATATATAAACTGCACACTTTAAGAGAGGAGCAATTATAGGAACTCTAATTCTGTCCCAAGCATGGATCAGGCTTATTGTTGGATCGTATATATCATTCACCTCATATTTAGCTATGTTTCTCATAGTGAGAAAGATTGTATAATTTACAAGAAAGATTGAATCTAGAATCAAAGAGAAGAAGGAAATAGGGTAATGAGGGAAAACAAATGCAATGCCTCTATTAAGATGGAAACACGAGAACCATGATGCCTTTTCTAATTGAAGTTTTTTCCATAAATAGGAATAGGAAAATGCTGAGGCATAATAACGACACACCGCTAGTACTGATCTAGAATAACGCAGAACAAGAAGTAATCTACTCATAATAAAGTTCCTTGTAGCAAGGGACACACGGTGCGCATGCAAGTGAAGCGGCTGCAACGTAGCAAATGCTAGCTGTAAATTTGGCATTTTCTGATGACATGGTAGTTGAGGAATTAAATACAATTCCTTTTGTTAAGCATATATATTTTCCATTTAATTATTTCATAGCCGACGCTTTTATGAATGAGAGGGAGATAGATTCATCTATAACATGCAAACTTGTACTTAACTAGTTACTGTTTTGCTTGTGAAGCTGTTAATATTTTACTTAATTTATGGATGAAATATTTATTTTTTCATTGATGTATTGTGAATATTGTTGAAGTATATACTCTAGTTGGGCTTATATATACTCCCTTCATCCCAACTTAAAGTACATTTTTTACCATTTTCACCGTCTCATTCAAAAGTATTTTTTTTCTATTTTAATAAAAATAATCATACACTAATATCAAAATATCATTAACTTTTACCTAAATTACAAATATACCAATACATATACAATTAATTTATACATAAAGTCAAAGGACAAAAAATGTGAAAACTTCTCAACTGATCAATAAAATATTATTATTTTTTAATCTACTACAAAAACCCAAAAGGTCCTTTTGGAGTGGGGTGGAAGGAGTAGTTAATATCTAATGAGTGAATTTTTTAGTTTTTTTGGTATATATGCAAGTGAGACTTATTTTTAAGTCCAATGTGTTTGATTTGTGTATCATAGAAACAAACCAAGCATAGCCAAAGAATTATGGTTTGACTATTTCTTTTCTTTGAATTATGGTTTGACTTGGATCCCTTGATTCTGTGAATTTATTGATGATCATCTAGGAATTAATTAGCTTATGTTGTAAAAACCTTAAGAAGAAAATCAATGATAGGTTTAGATAACGTTTCCTGAATGACCTACTCATGTAGATTTAATGATACTGTAAAAGTTTCTTTCCCCGCTGATCAAGAGTTTAAATTCTGTCATGTAGAAATATGGCACAAACACCAAAGATCTTCACTTTGGAATAGCAAAACTCATGTTTAGGTTGCATCCAAATGATGTGTCGTCATAGACACCAAATTGCGTTATCTATCTTGTGAACTTCTTGATTAGCCAATTTTTCTGCTAGATATTTTTGACAAATGATAACATAAAAGCTGTTGCATGTCAATGACAGCTCATGTTTTTCTGCTAGATATTTCCATTTCTTTTTTTCTATGAAATGATAATATATTGAATTTGGTAAAATTGACACTTCTAAGTAGTAAAAAACTTTTTCTTCTTTGCAAGTTTATGCTTTTGAACCATAAAAGTTGATATTTATCTTCATTTCAATTTTAAATCTATATTAATTTGTTATCATAGTATTGCCTATCCGGTCGAAGTATTAATCACCCTAACATAGATCAAGGCTTCAACTTATTTCAATGTGTAAAATCAAGCCTGCAGGCAATTTTTTCCTTTTTAAAAAAAAAAAAAAAAGTCTTATTTGCATGTATGCATAGATGTATCCATACTTGCTCAAATAATTTGAATCATTGGTTTTGGCTTGTCAAAATGCTAAATTAAAAATGAACTTCATAAGTTATTATTTGGGTTTCGGTTTAAAATCACCGGTTACAATTTGACCCATCAGTTTTTATTTTTTATTTTTCTATTTTTTTTTCTAATTTTAATTTGATGGATTCAATTTGACAATCGTTTCTAATTTAAGCATTATTACTTTAATTTTTAGTTCAGCAAGTTTGTATCATTTTCTCATTTAATATAAATATTTATTTTTTCCTACAACAATATGTATTACAATGGTTCATAACTTTATAAATTATTTGTGAAAATTTATAATTTATTTTTGTTAACTTTAATGATAAAAATACAAAGATTCATAAATTATAAATTTTTAAATTATATAACTTTTAAAAAATTATATTTTTGATATAAAATTATATTTTTGTTTCTATCTAAGTAACTTAAGTTTAAAACATGTATGTTATAATTTAAATTTATAGAATTATTATTACTATCATTTATAAATTTGTTTGAGTTATTTAATTTTTATGTAAGTTCTTAAAAATAGTTATTCATTTGAAAATATTATTTAAGTTTACACATAACTATTTATTTTTCTTGACTTATATAACTTATAATTTAAGTTTAAAGAATTCAAAAAAATATATATACAGTAAACTGCTTGTTCAAACCTACAATTTCGATTTCATGAAATGTGAAGCTGAAACCAAGCCTTATAAAATCTGGTTTCAGTTAACGTTTTGTTCACAGTTCTGATTCAAATTGAAAAATCAAAACCATAACAAAAAATCCAGTTGTTCAAACCATTGATTTGGAACCGTTTGGACTAAGTCGAGAACTTAAGATGAATGCTGTAGCTTAAATAATAATAGTAATAGTAGTAGTAGTAGTAGTAGTCTAACATTATTGTGTTCTAAATTAGTCTATGTTTACTTAGGCAGGCAAGTGAACATAAAGAATCCTCAAAACACATGGTTTTCTGAGTTCTTGTATCTGGCTGTTACTTTTATGGATGTGGTTGTTTGTAAAAGTTAATTTGATGGCAAGGCATAATCAAAGTTTCTATGCCTCTTCCCCATCTCTGGCTGAAGCAGGAAAAGATGGCTAGTGGGATAGTATCAATTATCAATTTTCTATAGCTTGATGGCTGGAGCATTTGCTATCCTTTGTGACTTCGTTATTGTCACATCTTTATACAATGAGGATCCCATGAACCACATGGGTGTTGATTTTTATGTGCATACGCTTTCCTTTCTCCTAGCATACTGTTGTAAACATTCATTCTGGAAGTTATATTTATATACCTGAGTACCACATGTATCTATCTATTGAATTTTAATTTTGCATTCTTTCCTTTATAATGTACATTTGTTGATTCTTAACATTTGACATTGTTTATATATTTTCTCAAAACACTATGTGCCCTTCTTTAATCACTGTTTATTAGTATTTCCATTTTCAGCCGAAGTCTTGTAAGGGGGTTTTCAAACCAAGGCATTACTGCATCCCCAATTTTATTGAACATCTTATGGTCTGCCTATCACCATTGATGTAGCATGCAACCAGTGATAAGGCACAGTTGCACGATTTTCATATATTAATTTCAACTTGTTTCATTAATTACCATTATTTTTGTTAAGTGTGTCCATTTCGAAGTAATGCTCCATCCTCTTTGTATAATGGAAAATACCCTGCAGGTGAGGCGAATGAATTTCATGCCACAATTTAGTTATATTACTCATGGGCCATTGCTATTACTCACAGCTTGAGAGAGTGCGTTCTTATGTTTCATTCTGAGCTATGAGGCACTAAATCACTTGTAAATATGTTCCCACGTATTATGTGATTCACAATGAGTAGCAAAAAATTATGATAGTAGTTATTAGTAGGATGTAGTCTCTGTGGTTAAGAGAACACTAGTGCGAAGTGTTTCATCTTGTTATTATTGTTATTTTAATATTCAAAATATTATATATTGATTGCATGCTATGCTAGTAATGTACTCTCTGTGGTTAGATTGTTGGTCTAATGTACTCATGATGCACGTTTGAACAAATTTGAAATATAAATTTAAATAGAGAATAATAACCAACATTTTTTTTTTTTTTTTAATGAAAATTGTTGGTGGGGATGTTTGGTAGTTGTGCATTTTTGTGTGATTTTGAGTTTGGTTTGGAAATGAAGCATAACCTATAATTCCTAGGCATTCTAATCTTAGAAATACTCTGCAATATTCAGGCATTTGTTAGCACAAGCAGAGGGCATTTCACATTTGCCTCCTACATGCTTTATGGAATGGTACTTTGTCTCAAGGATAACAAGAGTGACAGTAGTCTCATGTTCTGTGTTAGATTTGATAGATTCACATTCATATCCTTATCCAGCATATCATATCATATTTATGATTTAGTTAGATTTAGTTTGTTAGGTTAGATTTCTAAATATCCCTCTCTCTGTATATATATATTCTTCGTCTTTTTTTTATGATGGAATGAAATAATATTTTCTTTCTATTTCCATACTCTATTTTCCTATATGATATCAGAGGCCATTAGAGTTTAGATAGACTTCCATATTTTCCAACCGCTTCTTGTTACTGCCGCTGCCAACGCCAAATTTTCCGTTGGGCACTCACTTTTTTTCTCTGCTTTTACTTCTTATGGTCGATTTTTTAAGTTAATTGGTACTAGATGTCTACGTTTGAGGTGTACCTAGTGTCACAAGAATGGTCATACTAAAGGATGTTGTTATAGTCTTCTTGGACACCCTTCTTGTATGACAAATACAGTTGTTGCTAATTTGAATGAATGTTCATCCTTTAACTCCATTACTATAAGTCGTGCCGATTATGATGCGTTCCTTCAGTTTCAGGCATCTAAGCAAGTCATCCTCCACTAGTTCTACACTAGGCTTATGGGTACTAGATTGCGGTGCAACCGATCATATGTTTGGTAATCCCTATTTGTTTTCTACTTTTCATCCGTAAAACTCACTAACACATGTCACTCTGGCTAATGGTGATAAAGCATATCCTCAAGCTATTGGTAGGGTGTGTCTGTCACCTAATTTATCTCTTGATTTTGTCCTTTATGTACAACCGAGCCCATTTAATCTCATATATGTTAGTCGACTTACTAAAGATTTAGATTATTCTATTTTATTGACTGGTAGTTCCTTTGTTATTCAGGATTTCAACATAGGACAGATGATCGGTACCAGACATGAGTCTCATGGACTATATTACCTAAATAAGTCTTCTTGTCTATTTTTTACTCTTGCAACTGCCTCTGTTGAGTTTCCTGAATTGTTTCATCAACGATTAGGTCATCCCAATTTATCAAAATTAAAACGTATTTTTCCTTAAGTTTTCATCATTGTCTTCATTACTATGTGAGTCATGCAAGCTTGGAAAACAGTCTCGTACTACTTTTCCAAAGTGCGTCAATAATAGAGCATTTGAACCTTTTGCATTAGTTCACTAAGATATTTGAGGTCCTTGTAGGTTTTCAATATTTTGTTATTATTATTGATGATTTCAATTGGTGTACTTGGGTTTATCTATTGAAAAATAGGTCTTAATTACTTACTATATTCAAAAACTTTTGTGCTGAAATTCCTACACAATTCCACATCTCTATTAAGGTCTTAAGAAGTGATTAGAGAATATTTTTCCCACACATTTAATGAATTTGTGTCTTCTTAGGGGATTATTCATCAATTGTCTTGCCCTTCCACCACACAAAAAAATGAGGTGGCTAAGCGCAAGAATCGTTATTTAGTAGGAAGAGCTCGTACCCTTCTTTTACATTATAATATAACGTTTCAATTTTGGGTTGATGCTATCCTTACAACATGTTTTCTTATTAATCGTCCTCTATCTGCTGCACTAGGTCATAAGATTCTCATCATATGTCTTCAGTCTAATGTGTCATTGTACCGTTTACCTTTCCGTATATTTGGTTGTACGTGTTTTGTTCATAACTATTCTCCAGGTTTGGACAAATTATGTCATCATCAATTAAATGTGTTTTTCTTGAGTACTCATGTGTTCAAAAAAGATATAGATGTTATTCTCCTTTCACTCGTCGATATTACCTTAGTGCAAATGTCACGTTTTTTTAGTCATCATCATACTTCACGGTGTCATTAGCTCCGTCCTCATTACCTGTGACCCCTATTCCAGTGGCCCCCATTTTCAAGCCTCCACTTCAAGTCTATAGTCGTTATACATGGCAATGTCAAAATATACCTACTTCACCACCACTTGCGCCCATTGATGACTCATCTCCGGTTCCGTCATCTTCCTCGGTTGCGACTCCACCGTCACCTGTTGTCCAACGTTGAGGTACTCGGTCCACTCGTAATCCTAATCCTATTTATAATTTTCTTAATCTCATTCTATGTGTAGCGTTGTGACTGATTTAGACCCCATATTTGTTCCTCACTCTTGGTGTGAGGCTTTGGGTCATTCGGGGTGCTGTTAGGCCATGGTGAAGGAAATGTCTGCTTTGCATGCTAATAATACTTGGGAGTTGGTTCCATTACCACCCGGAAAACACCCGTAGCTTGCCGATGACTTTATCCGGTCAAGGTTGGCCCTGATGGTCATATTGATTGTCTCAAAGCTCAACTTGTTGCAAAGGGCTTTACTCAAGTGTATGGAGAGGACTACAAGGGAACCCTTTTGCCGGTTGCCAAAATGTCTTATGTTCAATTTTTTTTTTCTATGGCAGCAATATGTGGTTGGCTCATTCATCAACTTGATATTAAAAATGTCTTTTTGCATGCTGAGATTCAAGAAGAGGTTTATATGGAGCAACCACTCAAGGGAAGTCTAGTTTTGTTGCTAAAGGGAGTCTGGTCTTGATATATTAGAAGAAACAGATATGAATGAATGTAAGATTGTGGATTCCTCTATGGATCCACATACAAAGTTGGTTTCTAGACAGGGGGAGTAATTGACAGATGTTGATGCTGGACGATATAGAAAACTGGTTGGAAAGCTTAATTATTTTACTATCACCCGACCAAATCTCCCGGAAAAGGTATTAACAATTACTTTCGAACTCAAGTTCTCTGATATGACAAAGATGAAATTATGGTGTGATAATTAGGTAGCACTACACATTGCATCAAATCCAATATTTCATGAAAGAATAAAGCATATCAAAATAGATTCACTTCATCACAGAGAAAGTGTTATCTGGAGCTATAAATATGAAAAATGTCTACTCAAATGATCAACTTGCAGACATATCTACAAAAGCTTTTAGAGGTACTAGATCCAAGTCCATCTACAACAAACTTGGATTGTATGACTTGTACGCTCCAACTTGAGGGGGAGTGTTAGATACGATAGATTCATATTTAATCCATATTTATATCTACATCTGTATCCATCTTCATATCCTTATCCATCATATCATATTATATCTATGATTTAGTTAAATTTAGTTTGTTAGGATCGATTTCTAAATACCTCTATATATATATCCTTCCCTTGCCTTTTATGATGGAATGAAATATATTTTCCTTAATTTCTCTACTCTATTTTCCTACATTCTGCTTCTATATTTTCTGCAATTTTCGATGGATATTTATTTTGTTAGTTTACCCTTATTAAAATTTGCATATATTTCAGGTTTCTTTTCTGGCTTCTTACCACACAAATTTGTACCCTGGGTTTGGTGACATTAGGGACCATATTGGATATATCTCTTGTTGCTCCACAGGTATGGGGGAAAGTGTGGCTCCTGCGTCTCTTGATATGCACCACCTTAATTGTTTAGACGATCAAGTTGACATTGCATAATACTGACAATGACAATGATATTTAGAAATTCTTACAATACGCCACATTCGTGTCCCTATCATAAATGAAAAAACTAGTCTCTTGGAGGCAGTGTGGATATTCAGACTTAGGCGGCTGAGATGTCTTTCTGCATCTTATCGAATATTGCTACTACTTGATAAATTAATTAATGTTAAGACATTGATAGCTGTTGTGGTTATGAATGTGTTATGTGCTGATGGATAGGCTTAGCGGAACAAAAATTAGAAGAGAGACATAGATATGTCAACCCAATATGATGAAGGCAAAATTCTATGTATAAGTTGCTGCCTACAACTGATCAGAATCCAATCTCCGAAAACCTAATAGTTCCTCTGCAAACCCCAGTTGGAGTTCTAATGGGATATACTTGACTACTTGCCTACAATTAAGTTCTGAATTTTTTACAAAACTGACCAGGAGGTAACTCACCCTTTCGATTTTGAGTTATAAATCATACCTGCAGCTACACAAATTGCCTATCGAAGCCGGTCAGTTTTCTGATTCTACAAGCTCCATGATCCTCTCTGCCCTCTGCCTCTTTTTGGTCATCAATCATTTGCACAATTTGCTGGCTTATTTTCTTAGTTTTTTGTAATCAAATCAACACTATTTTTAGGGATATATTCTAACCTTAGACCACATGATCATTGCTCGTTATTCTCTGCAATCTCTTAATATCATCGGCTAGTCAACTGCTATGAGTAATTTTCATGCTGGCATATTTCTGCTATTGCTTTCAGTGTCAGTTGGTGTTCGATATACCATAATCATGTTCCCATGAATGCAATGAGAGTTGTTCAGAATCTTATCTAGAGTTCAAAACTTCAAAAGAATGCCAATAGAATCGTGATATTCTGTTATGTTGCAGGTTGGCTTGATTTTTCAAATTTGCAAAGTCAAAGCTAAAGATCAATCAAAACACATGAAAGGTAGACTTTCGACAACTATTCCAATATTATCACTAATTGCTGAAATTTAGTTTTTCATATTCGATGTGTCCTAAATTGTTAAGAATAGAAGGGCTGCTGACCATGCACTACAACTTTTAGAGAAACTAATTTGTCTTTGTGCTAATAAAAATAACAGTCATAAAGTCATAACGAAGTGCGCTGTTACTTCAGCACAGCATAACAAAGAAGATACGTATAACAGTTTAATACAACCAGCTCAAGCTAAAATTCCATTATATATAATGTTTTTATTATTTACGTTTTAATTTAAACATATAAAGGGTGTGTTCCTTTTTGACATTTTTTTTTTATTTTTTGGTTTTTTAGTTTTAATTTTAGGCTTAAATGATATTATGATGTGATACTTTATGACTATAAGTTTTAAAAAAAAGTATAAAGTGAAGAAAGTCAAAATCTCTATGTAAAGCCTATAGCATCTGTTCTTATTTTAATACAAAAGGTACTCTAAAACATCTAAGAATAGAGATTATGTGCACATTTATTGCTAGTTTGATGCTGATTTATTTAGAGTAACATATATTTATGTTTTGCCCTTTAGGTTTTTAAAATTTCTCTGAAGCTAGCAATTTGTAGAAACTAATGAAAGTCAAAAAGTGATAGCAATAATTATTTCAAAGAAAAGCTATAATATAGTGGTTGGAAATCACAGTAGCAGTACAGAAAATAAAATGGACAAGAAACCAAACTAATTCCAGCAATAGAATCAAAAAGATTTTGCAAAGAAATGATAGTGTAGGTTCTTGTTCCTCTGTCATCTGAAAACTACAAAACCCCATTTTGTGATAGTGAGGATACAATGAATATGAATGCATGATACCATTTTTCCATCCACTATCAACCACCACTCCTTGTTTCACTTCTTTTTTCCTTTTAACCTTTGCTTGTATGATTACTGTTTGTTCCAATTTGTCTTAGTTTTGTGTGTTTTGTGTTTTCTTCTAGTTGCTTTCTGCCCATTGTCTGTGTCTGAGTCTTAGGTCTCTTTCCCCATTTTGTGCACAACCACCACGTGAATTCATGCCCAATAATGGTGTGCCCCTACTACCCCCTTCTTCTTTATGTACCTCTCAATCACTGTCATGATTAATGTTGAACATGCTTGGACACGACACCATCCCCTCTAATATATTAAAGCTACCTCCCAAGAACTCCACTCATAATCTTGTCTCTATGCTTAACACTTGCATTTTTCAAAGTATATATAGGTTCTCCTATTGTATGCATGCTTCTATAATTTAGGTTATGTTTAGATAGACATTCTTACAGTTTTGGAGTTTTATGAATTGTTTAGAATAATTAAAAGTCGGGTATTTGATATGTATTGTAAGGAAAAAAAAATACTCCCTCCGTTCAGTTTTGACATTTATATTTACTTTTTTTAAGTAAATTAAAAAATATTAGTAATTTAATAGTAGTTGATGGATATAATAGTGTAAAAATCCTTACTTATATATTTAATTTAATAGTAGTTGATGGATATAATAGTGTAAAAATCCTTACTTATATATTTAAGTGTATAATAAAATGAGAGTAAGATGATAAATCAGGTATTTAATGTGATGTCTTTTTGGAAAAATGACTTTTAATGAATAGCACTAAAAATTCAAAAAAAATGCCCATGTAAAACAAAGCCTTGAAGTTTAAGTCCTATTGAATTGCCATTAAATGATTTCATGCTATCATTGTCATAGTTCACATGATTCATTCCATTAATGCCATCAATGCATGAATTGGAAGCATATATAAAGATTTATAGAAGATGATGCAATTTAAGCCTGTAACATAGAGAGAAACTTCCACGTAGCTATACTGTTGTTTATCATAAATTATGAACAATAAACATGGGAAGACAGACAAAAAACTCTAGTACATGTTAACTCCATTTCACTTGTGTTCTTTTTTTCGATGTTTTTGTTTTTCAATCTTTTTCCTCACCCAACTCATTGTAGGTGTTCTTGATCCTCCCGGGCCTTAGCCGAAGAACTCGATCCCGTCGTCGCCATACTTACAGCTTGGTTGTGTGTGAATCTCTGCAGCTGTATCATCCGGGCATAGATCCCGTCTGGATTGTTTTTCAATAGATGGGAATGTGAGCCCTGCTCAGCCACTTTCCCGTCGTCCAGCACTGCTATGACATGCGCATTCCTGATTGTCGAGAGCCTGTGCGCAACGACAATCGTTGTTTTCCCTGCGCAGGCACGTTCCAGAGCTTCTTGTATGCATCTCTCTGATTCTGCATCCAGCGCGCTGGTGGCTTCGTCAAGCAACATTATGTCGGGCTTTCTTAAGAACGCACGGGCGACAGCAATGCGTTGCTTTTGTCCTCCCGACAGCTGCACCCCTCTCTCTCCCGCGAAGGTCTTGTAGCCATCGGGCAATGAGGATATGAACTTGTGCGCATTCGCCAGAGTTGCTGCCTCAATTATCTCAGCCTCGGTTACTGACTCGTGACCGTACGCAATGTTCTCGTAGATTGTTGTGGCGAAGAGGCACGGTTCTTGCGGTACAACAGCCATGTGCTGTCTCAAGGACTTGAGGTTGTATTTTCGAATATCCTTTCCATCGATTATAACCCTGCCCGATGATGGCTCGTAGAATCTCTGGATCAGTGCAATGACCGAGCTTTTCCCGCACCCACTGGGCCCCACAAGGGCAAGGGTTTTCCCGGCTCGGGCGCGGAGACTCAGATCGTTGAAGACGGAGATGTCAGGACGAGCAGGGTATGAGAAATCGACATGCTTGAACTCAACTTCTCCTCGGAGCCTGTCTGCGATAGAAGTGGCGTTTGGATCATCCGGCTCTATTTCTGTCTTCCGGTCGAGCAGGTCGAAAACAGAACGCATTGCACGCCCGCCCTTGATGAAGTCGGGCGCTAGAGTTAATGTCTCGGCTGCACCATTAGCCGAGACCATGAGGACCATGAAGACTCGGATAGTCTTGGAGAAGTCCGAGATTCCGTGCTTGACAAGCCACGACGCGTACCACAAGCCAAGCGCATACGATGCATACAGCAAGAACTGCGCGATTCCATACCCACTCCCGGCGATCTGCCCTTTCCAGAAGCAACGGCGCAGCGGCGTCCGAAGGCTGGCTGTGAATAGACTCACAATTTGGGTTTCCGAGTTAAAAGCAGCAACAGTTCGTAAATTTGCCACAGCCTCGCCGGCTAGCTGAGTGGCCTTGGCATGTGCGGCTTCGAGGTCGCCGGAGAAGCCGTTCATAAACATTTTCTGTTTGCGATCGATCAAAGTCAGGTACATGGTAAGAATTTATCTATATTTTGCAGAATTTACATTTACACACACCTGTAACACAGTTGCCGCGACGACCACAGGAAAGACGGCGATGAGCACGAGGGCGAGGCGCCACTGCAAGACGAATCCGGCAGTGCAGGCGACGAGCATCAGAGCCGAGTTCTGCATTATAACAGAGATCCTGTCCCCGATCGCTGACCGGACATTATTTGCATCAAGAGCCAACCTCGCCGAAACTCTGGAGCTTTCATTCTCTTCCTGATCGAACCACGCCATTTCGTTTTTAAGCACCGCCGCCAGGAGCTTCTCCCGGACACGCTTCGTCAAGTTTTCTCCCACGGTATCCCAGAAGAAATGCTGCAGCGTGTTGAAAATAAGGGCGGCCGACGACACCCCGATCAAGAGATAACAGTACTTTGCTATTTCCCGGATCATAAACGCATGGTCCGGGTTATAGTAGACGCTAAGAACGGCACTCAGCACGTATGCGAAGAACGCGCTCAGAGAGCCGCAGATAACAGACCCTATAGAGCCGACCAGCGCGTAAGCCCATTCGGGTGAATTCATCTTCGCAAGGCGCCAAAACGAGCTCGCCTGTTCCTTGAACGCGAGTTTCTCGTGTCTGTAGTTAGGGTATGCGGCGTCCAAGGAAAGGCTGAAGTCGGAGGTGGAGAAGTCGGACAATCTTCTGGAGTACGGCGACCGGCCGTAAGACGAATTCCGGGTGATTATCGGTGAACTCACCGAGTTCCTCGCGCTGGAAGGCCTGCGTAATGCGTGAAAGCTCGTCAATACATCTTTGACGTGTTTCTAGTAACAAAACGAACGTACCTTGCGCTGCTCTTTCTCGCGTTGCTGAGAGAAGCTTCGTGGGCGGCTTCCTGCATACGGATCAGCTTCCCATAGACGCTGTTTTCCCCTCGAGCAATGAGCTCGTCGTGTGTCCCGATCTCGGACACACTTCCTTGCTGCAGCACAGTCACAACGTCGGCTTTTCTGATCGTGGAGAGGCGATGGGCGATCACGAGAGTGGTCCTTCCGATCATGAATCGGTCGAGCGCTTCTTGCACCAATTTCTCCGATTCTGAATCTAAGGCGCTCGTCGCCTCGTCCAAGAGCAGGATGCCGGGGTTCTTCAGCATTGCCCTCGCGATTGCGATTCTCTGCTTCTGCCCTCCCGATAGCTGTAAGCCCCTCTCCCCAACCTGTCGATATCAAAAAAATCAGCTTCGGGTTAGTATTTCTTTCGCCCGGCCGACTCTTAGGGTGAAATTTGTCGGCATTTTTGTATCGTAACATATCGATACAACGTCTGCTGCACACGAGTTCTCACTGAAACCATGTTACCTACATTTAAATGCATGACCTAACTCTTCTGACTTGAATACATAATGTTGGGCCGGCTTGTTGGCAAAATTAATCGCATCCGGTCGACAGATACTGAATAATTATCCCGGCCACATAACACCTAACAATTCGTCGACTGCTTCTAAGGAAAGCCTCATCGTATAGAAATACATTGCGCATAATGTTGAAATATGGGTATCATTAGAGTCACTAGATCATATATCCCTACGTTGAACTATGGACGTAATCACTTGCAATAGTGCGTGGTCCCGATGAATAATCTCCTATAAATCGATAAGGAACTTGGTGGACCTTATCGCCGGGGACGAGTTCATAAATATGGTGCATTCATAGTTCAAGAGTTACGATCGATGGAAATTAATGCGATTAATAACAAAAGTATAGCTTACCTGAGTGTCGTAGCCGTCGGGTAGCTTGACGATGAACGAATGCGCATTGGCGACTCTAGCAGCCTCTTCAATTTCGACCGAGCTCGCCTCAGGCCTACCCAAAAGTATGTTCTCCTTGATGGTCGTGGCGAACAGAGCCGGTTCTTGGCTTACCAATCCGATTTGCTGCCTCAACCATCTCAATTTCAATGTCTTGATGTCGCGCCCATCTAGCATAACTTGCCCTGTCGATATCGAACTAATTAGCCACAGAGTTCATTTAACGAATACATCAAATTCGACTCCATTGCTTAGAACACAAGCACCACCTGAAGTAGGATCATAGAATCTCTCGATAAGGGATACAACGGTGCTCTTCCCGGAGCCGCTGCTCCCGACTAAAGCGATCGTCTTCCCGGCAGGGACATTGAGCGAAAAGTCGTTGAGTATTTGAATTTCCGGCCTCGACGGGTAGGAAAAATCCACATTCTTAAGCTCCAATTGCCCTGTTATTGTTTGCAGCTCCAACCCGGATTCGCTGTTCCTGTCGACGCTCGGCTTGTGGTCGATTATCCGGAAGATTTTTGCCGCGGCAACTCTTGCTTTGGCGAAAGCAGCCATGCTCGGAGCAGATTGCCCTAGAGCCCTGAAAATCACAGAAAATATCATTTGATTTGATTCATCTTCTTCACAGATCAGAATCGGAGATTGATTGATGATTTTTACTTACAGGCCTCCGATCATCACTGCAAACATGGTGGCGATTGCAAGACCTCCATTGGTGAAATGGTGCCTAACTAAGTAACCTCCGTACCATAACAGAAGTGCATAGCAGCAGAATACCGTGAAGTAGGTTGCCCCGAGCCCCATACCTTTGGCGAATCCGATTTTGTATCCGATCTTTTGGGAGACTCTCAGAGCTGCTGAGTATGATTGCAGAGCTCTCGATTCGCCGACGTATGCCATTACTGTTCGAATTTGAGCTATAGTCTGCGGATTGATGGTGAATTTTGAGAAAAAATTGGTATGGAAAGTGATGAATTGATGATCCGCCATTGAAGGTATGTAAAGCTTTTCTTAAGATTCAAACCTGTTCTGCAATGTTTCCGGCCTCGGATAGCGCCTCCTGGCTCTTGCCGGAGAGCTTCGCCAATGTGGCGGTGTGGATGCCGCCGATGACGGCGATGAGCGGAACCACCGCGAGTGTGACCAGCGCCAGCTGCCAGACGGCGGTGAAGCCGACGATGAAGCCGGAGACGAATGTCGCCATGTAGTGGAGGAAATTCCCCAGCTGAAGAACAGAGAACGAATCGAAATCAAAGCAGTGTTAATTTGGGGGAAATTTGAAAATTAGGGTTTCTGGTTCATCTTCTTTGGCTACCTTCTCACTAATGGCGTCCTGCACCATAACCGCATCTGTGTTGATGGCGAAAACGACGTCGGATGTACGGACCTCCGTGTCGAAGTACTGCACGTCCTGATTCAGCGCCGATTCCAAATACTTTATCCTCATCTTCGTCGATTGCCTCTCTCCCGTCCACATCCAGCACGAGATTTCTGCAACAGAACACTCAATAGATCAAATCTATTCAGAAAAAAAAAAAAAAAAGGAAGCTCGAGAATCGCATTTCCATGGCGGATTTCACTTTACCTGCCCAGGAAGACGCCCAAATAGCAGCTCCGACTACCAGAAAATAAAATGCGTATTTCACAACCTCCTGCGTCATTTTATCGACATTGTCGGCGTTGGCGCCGAAGGAATTCACGAGATCAGCGAAGAATCTGAGGAACAGAGGCAATGAGCTGCCATGGACGATTGCTCCGACAGTTCCGATCGCCATCAGTACGTAGTCCAGCCCGTCGGCGAATCTGAACACCTCTTTTAATCCGACCGACGGCGGCGCCGCCGTCTTCTCCGCCTCTCCTCCGCCCTCCTTCTTCCCCCCATCCGAAGTCGAGACTTCCATCTCCCCTCCGGTTCCGTTCTGTGCGGTGCTGTGCAGTTACACCTTTAAATAGCTAAAACGTAGAAGAAGACGAAGAACTGAGCTCAGTCTCTAAAGTTTGCAGTACAATTCGATCCCTTTCCCTTCCACACCACAGACAGTCAGTCTCTTATACCCTCAGATCAAATCAAAATCTTCCTCTCTCTCTCTCCTCTTTCTCTCTCTACAATTACCATTAACAACCTGTAATTTTTTTCACAATCCCTCTTTTTCCCTCAAAATTAAAAAAAATAAAATAAAAATTGTTAAATCAAATCAAAGAATTCCTTTTCTTTCTTTCTTTCTTCCTCAGTCGGCTTTGGGATTTCTTGCTGCTTTAATCCAGGCTTTTGTGCAGAGCAGTTTTCCTTTTTGCTCTTCATCATCTTCTTCTTCTTCGATATATATTCCATTTTTATTTATACTGCTTTCTCTGTGCGCACATGGCTTCAACAGTTAATTAGAGAGAAGAAGCCAATTTAACAGTGACAGGTAATAATAATAATAATAATAATACATCTTGAACCTTAACCTCAACCTGAAAGGTGATGATCAGCCATAGCCAACCACGAGGGAGGTAAGGATAAGATCTGATGGCCCTGCCCGACAAGGAAAGAATACTATTGTACTGTACTGAGAGAGAGAGAAAATGGGTTTTTTAATTTTGACCATAGGAGAGGAGAAGCAAGCATATTCCAGTGCTCTACGCCATGCCCAATATATAATTTAATTTAATTTTCTGTAAATTGAAGAAACCCTAATTTTTTTTAATTTTTTGCAGGTTAATTAGATTGGATCAGTAGTAGTTAGCAGTTACTGACAGTGGTTTTTCTTGACTTGGTGTGGAAGATGGATCGATAATGAGATATGAGTGTTTGTACGTACACTACACACAGACATAGTTGATGTAAGAAAAAACCGCCGGATTTGTCGGGGAGACAGTGAGAGAGAGAGAGAGGGGCTTTTTCTTACTACCCACTCCCAAAATCTTTTTTAACTTTGACGATAAGTCACCCCCAAAATTATACTACTACTTCTTCTCCTTCTATTCAACGGTTTGTTTGTCTTAATTTTTTTATACAAATTTTAATATATATATATATATATTTATAAAAATAATATTTAATACTCCCTCCGTCTCGTTTAAACGTTGTCATTTTTTATTTTCGTTCGTTTTAAAATAAAGTTACTATTTTTTAATTTAGTAATTATACTACTTACCTAACATAATAAATACTCTTTCAGCTTACACTATATTACACAAATGTCATTACTTTTATATTACACAGTACTAATAGGGATATTTTCATATTTTTCACTACAACTTATTATAATACTAATATTCAAAAATCTACGTGTGAAAAGCAAACGACAACCTTGCATCGAGACGGAGGAAGTATAAATACTTGCTCCTCCTCCGTCTCATAAGAAGGATACTATTTTCTATTTTTGTCCGTCCTAAAACAAAACAAGGGTATCATTTCCTAATTTAGTAACTGTACTACCTACATAACATAATAAATATTCTTACAATTTACAATATATTACACAAATGTATCACTTTTATAACACATCATACTAATATGAGTATTTTTGTCTTTTTTATTACAAATTAATATAATACTAATATTTAAAAATCTACATGAAAAAACAAACGGTGATCTTCTTGCGGAACGGGTGGAGTATTATTTTTATATTATCTACGCATTGTTATACTTCAAATAGAAAATTTTCAAATCAAATACTAAATAAACAAACTCAATATTTTTATTTTGTTCCGTCCACATAATTTATCTTTTTTTAAAAAAACAATAATTATACATTTTCATTATATTTTTTAATTTATAAGTTTTTTTAATTTTAGTTAAATAACTTAATTATTTTAATATTAATTTATAATTATTTATATTATACTATAATTATTTTTATTATTACATTTTTAATTACTTCATTATTATCATTTTTAAAATTCTTGTATCTCAGTGAACAAAACATATATAGGGGATTAGAACGGTTAAATGAACCGAGATGTTCGTAAACTCGGTTCGATTAAAGCTCGTTTGCGAATGTTAACGAGCCGAGTCAAACCGAACAGCATAAACAGGCTCGTTAAGTTAACGAACAAGCACGAACTTTGTTCACGAACAATTGTTAAATTAAATAATATATTTATTATAAATATTATATACATGAAATTATAATTTATAAATAAATAAAATATTAATTCAAAATAAATAAATAACATAATTTAAATTTTTTTTAATCGAGAAATTTCTCATTTTTTATTTTAGCATATTCAAATCAAAATTTTATTTTATCTTTTTTCAAAAAAATAATAATAACTATCGAATAAATATTAAAATATCCCTATTTTTTATTTTTGCACATTGCTTGTCAAAAATAAAATAGAGATTATATTTACTTGATTGTTACCTATTTATAAAATACTATGTTAACTTAATTTGCATGCAAAGTCAAATAAAAAGTTTATTAGTAAATAAAGAGAACATATACTTTTAAAACTATTAGCATTATTCATTAATGGTACTGTAATTTAAAATATATATTATATTAATATTTTGTCTATTTTCTAAGTATATATATTTGTATGAAATTTAATAGATATTGTACTTTAATAATAATTTGTGATAATGTAATATATAAGAATTATTTTTTACTTTTATGACATATATATATATATATGAGGTATTGATATAAGTATTTTCTTTTTAATGGGGTTTGAAAATTTTGAATCTTTATATACATATACATATACAAAATATAGTCCTTTCGTTCCAATATAATAATTTTATTTATTATTTTTGTTCGTTTCAAAATAATAGTCTTATTTTTATAAATAATTATATCACCGTAAAATTGTTCCTATTTTTTCATTTTTATTACACAATTGCCACTATTTTTTACACTGATACACTCACAAGGGCAAAAAAGTTTTTTCTTTATACTTTTTACCCACTATCAATATTCCTTAAATCTCGTACCCAATCCAATTAAGACTATATTTATGGAACAGAGGGAGTAATATATAGTTTATAATTTTTTTAAAAAAATAACAATAATAATAATAAAGATAATGTAATGATGTAAAAGTGAACTTATGATTGTAAGATCATAAATATCGATGAAGTATTAATAAAATATTATTTGAACATTTTAGATCTTGTTTTAGTTTTAATACTTTAATTTATATTTTTAAATTTTAATCGTAATTTTGATATTGTATTTTATGAAAATAATAATAAATTTTTAAAAAATATTCTGAAAATTGAATATTAGAAAATTAAAAATAATTTTAAAATCTAGGTTTTCAATAACTTTAGTGTTGTTTATTCGAAAGAACACAATCTAAATTTGTTTGTTTTTATTTCAACTTAATTTTTACACTATTAAGTGCATTCAAATTTTTACCAAAAAAATAATAATAATAAATAACATGTACTATTTTTATGAAATATTATATCAAAATATTATTTGTATCAAATCTCAAATTCAAATCAAATACATCAATATTTACATATTTACTTTACATATTTACCCCGAGACTCGCCGAAGTAGGGGTATTTTTCTTCAGTAAAAAATAAAAAATTACTCTATTCGCCTTGCTGCAAAGTTGCAATTGACTTCTTACACGTTGATATTTGAATATTAATTATTATATCAAAACGTAATACAAATTCAAAAAAAAAAAAAACCAGAATATGTATAGTAGTCTCTTATAATACCAATACAATGACATTTTTAGAGTAATTTATTCAAATATAAGGATATTTTTAATATCAAGTACAATAACGCAAAAATTAAATGACAAGATGACCGAGGGAATACTATTTAAATTTTATTATATCTCAAAAAAAATATATTAAATATTATTTGAATATAAAATTCAAATTTTGTTTTCAATTCAAATTAAAATTGTTCCCCTTATTTCCATTTTTCTCTGTTTTTGAGTGATATATTCAAAGTGTAACTATTTTCATTAAAATTTTGACATAAGTGGTTGGGGATTAATTATAGAGATAGAGAGAGATTATTTATTAATTAATTTATTTATTTATTTATAATTAATTTAATTAGGGTGTAAATTGAGTAAAGAAATGATTAATTATGGTTAAAGGAGGAATCTACAGATTTGATGATGATTTTTCTGACAGAATTATTGAATATTTACAGGTGGTGCACACCTTAACTCATTAATTTAATTCAATTTAATTCTGACGATCTATGGCCGTTGATGGGGAAGAGATGAACGGTGTGGATCTGTTGGGAGTGGGACGCCTTGGCAACAATGAGCCACGCTGCATTCATTCTTGTTGATTGCAAGTGCCTCTTTTTAACATATCTCACATATATATATATATAGAGATAGATAGATACAGAAATATGTATCTATATATTGTATGTATGTATGTGTATGTATGTATAAGTGACAATTTTAGAGAGAGAGAGAGAGAGAGATTAAAGAAGAATATATATATATATATGTATATATAAGGGTGTGAGGACAAATTTTAGTGGGCACTTTCTTGGATCCAACTTGCCTTTTTTCTCTCCCACACAAAAGACTTGTACAATTTTTATTCTTTTTATTCTAACATTTTTTATAAAGAAAATAAATACTGTCTCCGAGTATATTAGTGTAAAAAATAGTGGCAATTGTGTAATAATAATAAAAAATAGAGATAATTTTATGGTGATATAATTATTTATAAAAATGAGAATATTGTTTTGAGACGGACAAAAATGATAAACAAGGATAGAGTATTTAAGGTTTATTTGCCTGTAATTTGAAATTATACTATTAATTTAAAATTTTATTTAAATAGTATTTTGATTTAATATTTTATTAAAAAAATATATCGAATAAATAATACACTTGTTTTAATTTGATGTAGTTAAAAACCAAACTCTTATATAATTTTTTGATTTGATATTTTAAATATAAAATTAATTTTTAATATAATAGTATGAAAAATAAAAATATTAAAGAACACACATTTGATTATTGTTGCCACAATTTTTAATAGAAATATTATATATTTTTCATATAGTATAAAATGTTACATCCAACAATTATTTTACAAAAAAAATAAAAACCAAACTACACAAAGTTTAAACCAAACTAAGAGAATAAACTTGGGCGCGTTTGTTTGGAGGTTTGGATTTTGAGATGGGATTTGAATAGTAAAATTTTGAATTTGAATAGTTGTACGATGTGATATAAATAGGTGTTGATGTGATGTTTTGAATGTAAAATTGATTTTTAGTATAATATAAAAAATGAAAAATAGGTGTTTGATTTGATGTTTTTGGAGGGAAAAAATTGGATAAATAGTAAGATTTTGCACAAATCTTACAAACGAACACACCCTAGGGGATTTCGTTGGCTGATTTTCCCGAATTTCTACTATTCACTAAAAATTTTTTCCTCCAAAAATATCAAATTAAATACTTATTTTTTCTTTTTTATATTATACTAAAAATTAATTTTACATTCAAAACATCACATCAATACCTATTTATATCATATCATATCACTATTTCAATTCAAAATTTTTACTATTCAAATGACAACTCAAAATCCACACCCCAAAACAAACACACCCAAAGTGTATTTAAATAAATTCTAAGTCTATTTACATACTACAGTTTCACATCTCTAAATCTATTTAAAT